AATCATTCTTCTACAACACGTCCGCATCTCTCACCGATCTCAAGTGAATGCGCAACGGTAGCGGACTGAGATTGGAACCTGGTGGTGGCGAATGGCGGTGCCGCGAAGAAAGAGAACGCCCCCCATCACATCCGATTGGCATCGACGAGGCGATTAGTGGTGGCGACTCTGCTCATGCATTTTTTATTCTGCTTAAAGTGTTCGGTCCCAAAGTCTTCCAAGAGCCAGCCGCTTCTGCGATCTGCATGGCAGACAAACATGATGCAGCCATTCGGGAAGGTGACAAACCGCCGTGACGTTTGGGGGCACATCCGATTCCTCGCCTGTCCACAATCAAGCCCACCAGCAAGTCGCCATCATCAACACGTTAGAAGCGTCTCGCCAAACGGCACGCCCACTTCAAAACAGCGAGACTCTGTAAGGCTTCATGCCGACCAAGTATGCGAGCGACCGGTGTAGGCGTGGTGACGCTTCTGACGAATAAATGTTGTTTCGCTATCACATCCATGACGACGACTCGCGAGATTCCTATGTTTCGAACTATTTTTTTAAGATGCTCGCGGCTCTTTAGAGCCGGACCGTCGTAGCGTCCGGACTACCATTCTTCACTGCGTCCTCGATGCAGACATCGATGCCGCCACGCCTTCGGATGTAGTTCCCCTCTCGCTTCCGGGGTCACCGAAGTCGAAGTTGTCTGCGCGGCTGTGCAGCCCTCTCTCCCGACCATACTCTGCGTGACTGTTGGTGTCAGAGGGCTGTGCTTGTAGTGCAAACATCTCTCGTTGGTCATATGTCGCAGCAACCCTTCTTTACTCAGCTTAGCGCACAATGCGCCCACACTCAGATAAGGACTTGCACGCACCGATGCGAGGCAGTGGCGACCACGGTGGCGGGGTGGCAAGTAATGACACGCTTTGCCTCCATGGCCCCACTGGCCGACCACGTCCAATCCATGCGATGCAGAGGGTGAGCAGCAACGCAAAGTCAACCGAGCAGTCAACAATCTGGCGCATCTTGCGCCATCATCGCTCACAGCTTTCGGTTGCCACGGTCTTGCCGGGTGGAAACGGGCAAAGTATTTCGTCGATAAGCTGCTATGAGGATTGTTGGCCGGGCATGCGGCTGAGCAGCGTCGCCACGAATGTGGCTTTAAGCCGACCGCTTCGGCTTCCAAAAAGCCAAACCGTACAAAAAGAACGGACACTTGGTGACGCTCTGCTTCCCACCCCTCAAGTGCTTCGAAATCTTGTCGCTGCTCTCATTGCCGTTGCTTTTCACCTCTTTCGCTCGAGTTTTCGCTCTTCCACAAGACTGCTTCGTCAACACCTTGCGCACTATTGCCTCGGGTAGGCTCTTCAATTTCGTCCAGCCAGTCTGAGACAAGCAAGATCTGTTCACTTGCTGGGTTCAAACCTCACGTACGCAATAAGTCAAACAAGAGATATGCAGATTGCTACTTCAAACTTTTTGCTCGTGGGAGCGATCGCTGCTGCCGGGATTGTATCGGCCGCACCCGTGTTGAAAGGCTCTGTTGCTGTAAGTCGTCAATTCTCTCCAGAAAGACCATCCGTACGACGCTGACACACCTCGAACTTGTGCCCAGCTTGAAGGCAGAGCACTGCCAAGGTTGCCGCCGGTCATCGCGTCTGAGCATCTTGGCCTCTTGCCAAAAGAAACACAGACTGAGGTAGCTGCGCATTCATCCGCTTTTGCCCACGACACTGGTCTGAACGCCTTCAAAGTGACGCAAGTTCTGGAGGAGCAGAAGCACGTTGTCGGGTTGGGCCATCATCCTGATGGATCCATCAAGCCGTACCTTTTCAAATGGAATGCGGACGGAACTCGCATGTGGTACCCCCACGCCGTGTTCACGGGCCGTACCACACCGAAGGAGCTGCATCTCTTCGAAGGCAGCCACGCGACCGAGCCCCACTCACCGACGAGCCACGAGCACTCCTCTCATCCGTCTACTCATAGCCAACAACTTCAGCATTTCCCTGAGCACGTCGTGCACGTTCAGATGCGTAGGCCTCCAGGCTACTACGACGTACCCACCAACCTCAAGTTGTTCTAGAACAAAGTTCAAGGATGAAAAAGGTAGATTATGCCAAGAGATCAGTGTAGGGTGAGGTAACGCTCGTAAATCTCGCGGGCCAAGTGCGGATTTCCAGACAGAGTGTAGAGCATGGATAGGTTGTGAGCTGCTTCTCTATAGCAGTCGAAGCCTCGCTCGCGTGGGTCCGGGTCGTCGGGCGTTTCGCTGCCGCCCTCTCTGGCCCGTGCTTCCCACTCATCGTGCAGCTCCAGCGCGCGTCTGTAGTGTACCTCTGCTTTGTGGTTGAGTCCAATGTGATGCATGGCGCGTCCAAAGTTGAACTCCACCTCGACGCTCTTTGGGTGACGTAGTTTGCGATAGGATGCGAGCAGAGTGATCGCCTGATTTGAACAGATGTGTGAGCTCCAAGCTCCCGCGCCGGATGCTGAAATTGCTCACCTGAAGCACAAAGTGCTGTCGATTATCAACCTGCCGCTGCATAGCTCTTTGTAGGCAGGCTGCTGCAGCGCCTAGAGAGACAAGAGGATCGTGCTGATGCTTTGCAAAAACTCGCAGCCAGTACGCTGCACATGAAACTTCAGCAGCGTCAAGCATACTGAAGAGAAGCAGGATTAGACTCACCTAGTGACGCCTGCCAACTGAGTGTACCAAGCATGAGGGACCCGTAGGTAATCTCGCCGGGGGCGTTGAACTGCGTCGGGCGACGATACCTTAACCGGAAAGCTCTGCTTTTCTCCTCAAAGGCTTGATCAGCAGCCAGAAGCGCTTCCTCGGCACTCTTCAAAGCGTCATTTGCCTCGGCACTCTCCGCTTCCTCTTCGTCCGCTTCGTCATCGCTTTGGCGATCCCACTCCGCGCCACGCCTACCAGATGGTCTGCTGAGGCTCGGCAAGACCACCCAACGATCGTTTCTAAAATGGTGCGGCTCGCGCGCTGCCATGGCTTCGTGAATACGATTCCTTCGCAAAAGGCTCTTCTGCGCGTGCGGTGCCGTGTAGGAGTCAATCGCATAGAAACCCAACGTATTGGCCAGAGTCGTCACGACTCGAAGAGGTTCGGCGTGGAACTGCCAGGTGACGGCAAGCTGACGAGCAGTCTCCAGCATCGTATAGGCGTCTCGGGCGTAGAGCGCGCAAGCTGCATGTCGTAAACACAAGTCCAGTCAGGGTAAACATCGGGCCAATCATCTGCAATACGTTTCGCTTGCGGAGAGCACGCACCGACATGAGTCAAGTTGATGACTAGACTATAGTCCTGAGAATTCCAAAAGACGTTGACCGTAGCAATGTGGGCCAGTATCTCGTACGCTTCTTGGACGTTGCCCATCTTTGTCAAGACGAAAGCATACTGTGGCGCGAAGGGCGTACGGATCAGAGAGATGAGATTGAACTCGGGCGCAATGTTGAAGTGCGCCTCACTTACCTTCATGAAGAGGAGTAGCCAATCGTCAAAGTGTACTCCGCAGAAGTCCATTGCATCAGGGTCAACGGGATGGCCATCCTCGACAAGGCTGTCTCTGATGCGGGAGATCAGCGAATTGGCTTGCCTGTCCAAGTTCGATCGGAGATCTCTTCGACGGTCGCGTTGCTGTTCAGATCTGAAACCCTTGTCCCTGATGAAGAGCTTTCGAACGGCACAAAAGCCATCGGTCAGGCCTCGAGCCAAGTGGAGCCATTCGGAGCACGCTACAAGATGAGCCGCCCGCTCTTCTGCGGTCTCGCCCAGTAGCAAAGGTAGGTTCTGCGACGAGTCAAAAGGCACATCGTGGCTCCACCATCCTTTTACAAACACTTGATCTTCTTTCTTCTCCATGTCGGCCCAGCTGACTCGAATCTCGTACTGGCGGGCCTCATAAAGCCTTGCTCTCTCTTCCTTTGAAGCCGTGACCCGCTTGGAGTGTGCAGAGTGAGGATGAACCGTTCCACGACCCCTGCTTTTGTGTTCACGAAAGAATGTAGCAGAAGCTGCGAGGGCAGATGCGTCATCCATGTCCGTGCTTGGAAGCTCCTGACGAAGACGGACGACTGAGGTGCAGGAACACCGTGGATGAAGAAGCAGGTTCAACACGAGCATTGGTAATAGACAGTGCGCACACAATACTCACGTTCGCGCAGCACCTCGATCGCCTTGTCTCGTTCGTGATTCGCCTCGTATGTCTGTGCAAGCCAAATGCGCACTTGCAAGTCATCCGGGCACTGTTCAATAACTGCAAATGAGGCAAGCAGGATGAAATGAGAGATCTGTGTGAAACAGCGAAGCATGCAAGCCTGCTCACGTTGGATATATTGGGAAATAGCATCCTCCAGCCTGCCATTGTGTTGCAGACTCTGAGCGTAGAGCTGCGCTACGTCATACGTGCAGAGCTGCAGATTGAAAAAGGGGCCTTGCGCGATGGTCAGCAGAGCGTGAGGGGCGAGTGCCGTCCGTTTCTTGCGCACCTCTTCAATCTGGGATAAGAGCATGGCTTCGACCCACTCTTCGCTTTCTGCCCACAACTCGTTCTGTACAAGTGCCCTGCCAACCTGTCTAAACATTTCCGAGTGCAGCTTGTCCTTCATCGAAACTTCCGCTTTCCAGATGCTGAAATGGAACATTGCCTCTTCCGTATCTTTGAGAGCCGCCCTGATCAGGCCAAGGCGAACCCGCATCGCTGGATCTAGCTGATGAACCGGTGCCGCCATGACGCGACGGGTCGGATCGGGCCTCGCAATGCCTTTGGGTCCTCCCTCCTCTCTTTGCAGGTCAAACTCCCGATCATCCGAGTCAAAGTCGTCCCACCACTCTTCTTCTGCGCGACCTTGCAACCATCGAGCTCCGCCGCGAATCGTGTCTAGCGCATCTACCGGACGCCCTAGAAGGAGGTAGACGTCGGCCAGAGATACAATCTCGTTGCTCCCGAAAGTAGGGCGAAGCTGATACGCCTCTCCCTGTTCGGCGTCTGGCTCTTCCGTCGGATCCGGAAACACTGCCAGATTGTATTCCCTTGCTTCCACAAGAAGCTTGGCAGCCCGATCGTACCGCTTCAGCGCGCAGAGTAGCGGCACAACGGCTTGAATGATGTCGGGATTGTGAGGACGATGATGTAGAATCTGAAAAAAGGCCTGCACGGCCTGCTTGCACCGCATTAGATCGCAATCCGCGTCGGCTGTGTTATCATCGAGCACGCCACTCATGTCGCTGAGCTTGTTGGCGCGTAGCCACATGAGGTCCATGACGTCCGACTTGTCCTTCACTCGAGAGTTACGTACACCTTGACGGAGGCAGTATTCCGCCTGATCGTGCAGATGCTTTTTTTCGCTAGCCTCCGCGATCTCTTTCCACAATTCCAGCGAATACTTGGTCAAGTGAGCCTCGATGATCCTACATTGCAGACCCTGTTCGATATTGCGCAAGTCGTCCAGATGGATCATTGCAAGCGTTGACCATGCTGAGCGGACCGTTGGCTCGATCCGGATGACGTCGCTCAACGCCTCGATAGCCTCGGGCAAGCGGGCGTCGATGTAAGCCTCGTTGGCCTTCATCAGCAAATGCTTGACCTCATCTGAGAATTGTTCTTCGCCCAGACCACGCCTACGAGTCCTAGCTAGCTGACCCTGCAGCATGGTTGATTCGCAGTCAGCTTACATCGAGACCACCCAAGACTATCGCTCCTTAGCGACCACTCACGGGCGCCCGCAAACGACGAAACCCAGCAGCGGCGCGCAGATCATCCTCAATGGTGAATGCGTTGAATTCCTCGCCATCCTGAAGGTCCTCATTTCGCTCGACAGCACCCAGTGCAGCTCGCCATGCGGGAGCGCGCGATACAGGATCGACTGCGTCGCTTGCTATTCCGTTGATCAAACGACTAGAAAAAAGCAAATAAACGCTGCTCAGCTCCACATCCATTGCGCGCGCACTCACACACATCATCTGGTCGCATTGCTCACCCGAAATCTTCCGCATCGACTTCACCTTCCTGATCTGGTTCCTGCTCAGCTTGAAGGCGGGCCAGCTCGCGTTGCTTCTGACTCGCTTTGGCCCAATCAGCCGGCCTCTCCATGAGATGCTTAGAAGGCTGCACACGTTTCCTCGCATTTCTTTTCTTTCTTCGCGCTGTGCCGACTGGCGCGACACCGGTCAGATTCAACTGCTCAAGATCAGGAAAGCGAGCGTACAAGTCCGATGAAGGGTCCGTGCGCGATGCAGCTCCTGTCGGTGCTTGGCTCGTGGAAGGCCGGCCTTTGCGATGCGGTTCAGGCGACTCTCGATACTCGTCGGCAGAGTCAGATCGTAGAGACTCGCCGCTGTGGTGTGGTGTCACACAGATACGCGCGATAGTTGAGCTTCGGACTCCGTGCATCTTGTGAGTCCACACGCACCAGCACTCACCTGTCATTCAGCCAGCCATACTCATCCTCTTCCTCCCCTTCCCCTTCCCCTTCCCCTTCCCCT